AGTTATGGAAAGAAAGGAAGCCTAATGTTAGTCATTTCCATGTGTTTGGATCCAAATGCTTTATCCTAAACAATGGAAAAGACTATCTCAAGCCATTTGATCCCAAATCTGATGAAGGGATCTTCCTGGGCTACTCAACAACAAGCAAGGCATTCAGGATCTTCAACAAAAGAACTCTGGTGGTAGAAGAATCCATCCATGTGGTGTTTGAAAACCACCCCACTACTCATTTAAAAGATGAAGGTGAGTCATCCAAATCAAAGGACACTGGAAAGGCTCCAAGCTGCCTTCCAAATAATAATGTTCAAAAAGGTGGAAAGGCAGTTGACTCAAACGGCAGGCCACTGCCAGCAGTTGACTCAAACAGCAGCCCACTGCCAGCAGTTGACTCAAACGGCAGCCCACTGCCAGCAGCTGACTCAACTGTCAGCCCATTGCCAGCAGGTGACTACCCAAAAGACAACCTTCCAGGCAATCAGGACATTCCTAATCATCCTATTCTACCATAGGATAGTGAAGAAGAAGAAGAGGAGGATGACCAACAAATTCTAACCAAAACAACCACATCTGACATTAGATGGTTGAATAAACATCCTCCTCACCAAATAATTGGAGACATCAATACAGGGGTTCGTACCAGATCAGCAATTCAGAGAGACGCACTATTCTCATGCTTCATCTCCCAAATTGAACCCAAGAAAATTGAAGAAGCCCTACTTGACTCTGACTGGATACAAGCCATGCAAGAGGAACTCAACCAGTTTGAGAGAAACAATGTGTGGGAGCTTGTACCCACACCCTATCATCAACATGTGATAGGAACTAAATGGGTATACAAAAACAAAATGGATGAGGAAGGCACCATAGTCAAGAATAAGGCAAGGTTGGTAGCCAAAGGCTACTGCCAGGAAGAAGGTAAAGATTTTGATGAAACCTTTGCTCATGTTGCCAGATTGGAAGCAATAAGAATCTTCTTGGCTTATGCTGCTCATAAGCAATTCACAGTTTATCAAATGGATGTGAAAAGTGCCTTCCTAAATGGTCTACTAGAAGAGGAGGTCTATGTGGAGCAACCTCCTGGTTTTGAAATCAATAGAGAGAAGGATCAAGTCTACAAATTACACAAGGCTCTTTATGGACTCAAGCAAGCCCCAAGAGCATGGTATGACACTCTCTCTGAATATTTAGTGAATAATGGGTTCACTAAAGGAAAAGTAGACAAGACTCTATTTAAAATAGAAGAAGGTCCCCACATACTGCTTGTTCAAATCTATGTTGATGACATAATTTTTGGAAGCTCAAATCAAGCACTATGTAAAAAAAATTCAACTCTCATGCAAAGCAAATTTGAAATGAGCATGATGGGAGAGTTGAACTATTTTCTGGGACTACAAGTGAAGCAGACTCCTCATGGTATCTTCATCAACCAAGCCAAATATACAAGAGATTTCATGAAAAATTCAAGGTTGAGAACAAGTCTACGGTCAAGATACCCATGAATACATCATAAGGTCTAAGTCAAGATGAAGATGGCAAGGTGAAAGGAAACATGGCACTGTAATTGCAAGATGAAGGGAAACATGGCACTGCAATTGATGGGCCATCTTTTCAAATATTTGGTGTCTTGACTCAGGAGAAACTACAACAGGATGCACAGTGTTCTGAGGTAAACAAAAAGTGCCATTATATTCCATAATTAAGAACAATAATAATGACTTTATGCAAAATGATAATAAATTGAATATTTATTTAGGGGCTGACCTTGAATGGTGAAAAAGAGCATCAGGTCAAAATGGCAGGAAATGAACATGTAGAGAGTATTACACGTATTCATTTAGTGTCAAGTATGGAACATGGCAATGTAAGTTGTAAAAATGAAATCATTGTACTGTGACGCAGGTGACAAGTATAACTGAAGAAGTAGAAGCAAGAGAGACGGCTGGAAAAGAGAGAAAATGAACAGCAAGAAAAAACAAGTGGAGAAAAGAAAGAAGATGAAAAGAATGCTACTGTGGAGGAAGAAGTACAAGTAAGTGCAAAGGACGGAGAAAAGAAACAAGATGAAAAGAAAGAAGAAAGCAGCCATACTGAAAAGGATGCTCATGTGCAGGAAGAATTACCATTGTGGAGTCAAGAGAGCACCCAATTCATAAACGAGCTATGCATGAACGTAGACAATATTGAAAAGGAAGTGCTTGGAAAAGGAAAAAACAAGAGAAAGTAATACAAAAAAGGACCAGAAGTCAAAAAGCACAGCTAGTCCTGGTAATAATTTTAATGTTTAGTGACATAGTACATGGAATTTGTTGTTTTATACTTACAGAGTGTCTTTCAAACAAAGTAGTGCCATAGTTATTTGTTAGTGTCACCGTATAAGGAAATGATATCTTAAAATACCTTCAAATTCAAAGTACACAATACAAAATAACATGAATATAATTAGTCATTAATATGAATAATTAAATAAATATAATCTTCCAATTAAATTGATATTAGTAATAAAAATTTTAAGTTTTGACATCATTTCAGTTTTAATGTGGCATTGTAGTACAAAAAAATAATACTAAGTAGGTACACAGTGTATGGATGAAGAATATAGTAGATTTTAAAATGTTAAACGTGATAAAAATATAGTACTAATTTAGAAAGTTTGACAGAAGTAGTTTGTTTATAATCATAAATTTTTTTGGATTGTCACAGAAAATAAAGACTGAGGAAAAGCAAAGTAAAGGCAACTGATGTGCTAGGTCATCAGACCTTTATACCCATCTGGACAAACTGTAGAAGCAAAGAGGAGAAGAAAAGAGAGAGCAATGAAAATTCAAGAAGATGAAACATTCTTACCTGCTATTATGCAAGTTGATGTGAGTTTTCTCGCACTTAAAATAGATTGTAGAATATTGGTGTAAGTACGAGTATCGTCTCCACAGGGACGGACAAAAGGGAATTAAGAATTAAATAAATTCAGCGATTAAAAATAAAATAAAATAAAATAAAATAAATTCAGAGATTTGATTGATTGGGAAAATTAACTTGCAATTAAACGAATACTAAAGCTAAGGGGTTCTTTCTAATTAACGACGAAGGGAATAGAATTGATTACGGGGTAACCAGATTTCTGGCAGATCAGGTCTAATTACATGAAATTTATTTAATTGAGCCTAGCTAGTCATTACTAAGTTCTTACCGCTCTCGTGGCGTAGAGTACAATAATTTAGGGGACCAGGCTGATCTCTCATACGACAAGATCCTAAATTATTACCAAGACGAGCGAGCTTACGGCCCCTTAATCGCTACTATTCTATTAGCCAACGATTAAGTGTGTGTGAATGTGTCCTAGAATAAATTAGATCTCTCTTAACTTATTCTACAAGCAATTGTAATTCTAGTGCGCGTTCTAGGTTACAAGAGATATCAATTAAATTATTCAAACACAAATTAAACGGCATTCATGCAATTAATCCATCAAAAATCTAGCCATACATCATGATTAACCCCTTCATCTATCCCAAATCCCTAATTAAACTACTCACAATTCATAATTGAAGAATCAACAGAATTGGGCTGAATAGAATTAATTCTCATTAATTAAAAAATGGAACTTACAAAGAATCCCAAAAGATTGATGAACAAGGCTGAAATGCTCTCTAAATTTCGTGCTAGGCACTCTCTCTAAGCTCCCCCTCAAAACAGGGGTTTACAGGTTGTTTAAATAGGAAAAACGGAGCAATTCAGGTTGAATTAGGACTGAAACAGGGCACACACAGCACCACGCACGCGTGCGTTGCGTCCGTGCGTCCGACGGACTTGTGCATAAAAACATTGGACGCACGCGTGCATCCACCTCACAAACGCGTGTGTGGCTTCCAGTGAGTTTTCCGGCTTCTCTAGTCCGAATTTGACAACATTTCTTTCATGAACGTTGTAGATAATGAATTTCTCTACCCACCAAAACTTGTCAAATGTGATTTGAATCATCCAATCAAGAGATATGATCAAAACGGTGGAAGGTATCATTCTGAAATCGCAGCAGAGATCATCTGACTTCATCGCCTGTTTTCACCTTCTTTCTCTCAGATTCTAGCAAAGGTGTCTTCATATGATTTGTATCCCTTGAAGTTATCTTTCATATGGACTTTTAATCGTGTACATCTAATGTTTCTACAAAGATATATGCTTGAACGATTGATAGAAGGTCATCCTGATCGCCGATTTCAAGCTCCATTCATCTTCTTTTGATCCCGTAGCTAATCCTAGAGCTCTTTTTCCTTCAAATCTTCATCGTGAACCTACCGGTGACCTCCAAAGCTCTCAAATCACTCTCGAATGCTTCTCAATTCATCCTTATTTCTTCTCAAGCGCCGGTGCCGAACTCTAAAATCCTCATTTTGACTCCAAATGACACAAAAGTCGAACCAACGCCCGGTAAACATAACTTGAGCTAAAATTGAGACTTGTAACACCTTAAAGCTAGGGAAAACCATCAAACTCAATCCTAACACGCATCAAATGCATGTCTAAATACGGACTTATCACATGTGTATGGACCATTTAGTGAAGACCCAACAGACCCACCTAAAGAAGAGCATGTAAGACAAGGTCATGCATACTTGGCAGTTGGGTTCCTGAAGTCTAACAAGAATGTAAAGGGGGGAAGAAGATACACTGAGGGTGAGGAAAGCATGACAAAAGTGCCCATTGCTGCTTGATAGAACAAAAGTTCAGTCAAAGACCTGGGTTTATAATCTATTTGTGAATCACCGGTGGTTGGATGACATGGTAAGATGTCAATGAATACTTAAAGGAAAAGATGACATGGTAAGATGTCAATGAATACTTAAAGGAAAACCATGCAAGTAAATGTATTAAGCACAATAATATAAATAACATTAAAAAAGCAATATTAAAGTATCTTTTGGTTGACATGGGTATTGATAGGGGGGAAAATGGAACCTAAAATTTTAAAAAAGAACTCAAAGGCCAATACAAGTTAAAGGAAAAGATGATATTATATATCAAACTTTAATGACAAACACTATGATGGCATTCATTATAAAGAAAGGCACTAGTAAAGCAGTGTGGAATCATATTAGTAAAAGTGTGACCAAAGTGATAGTAACAAATGTTCTGAATATGTCCGCAGACTAAAAACAAGTACTTTTATTATGTAACTACTATGTATGTAGCTAAGACACATGAACACTTCATGACTACTTATGTATACGAATTGGATTTCTACAAGTCTTCTTGTTGTGTCCAAGCTTGTGGCAGCGAGAGCATCTTTGACGTCTTGAAGACTTGAACCATTGAACTCTCTGATTGAAGGTATTCTGGACTTCTTAAGACGTCCTACAAGTCTCTTCACACAAGTAGGAGGCTTGCAACAAATGCTAGCAATATCAGAAGGAACGGACCATGAGTGTGGATCTGGAATAGGGTGAACTGTATCAGTCCACGTAGGCAACCATGCATCACGAGAAAGATAGGGTGATATAAAATCATAACATGAAAGGCTTGGCCGCATACAAATAGAAGCTACTGCATGAACACAAACGAAATGGTCTAACTAGAAAACACCACATGTGCATGTCTTGTAAGTCAAAATAACAACAAATGATCTGCACTTTCTGTCTACAACATGAGATTCAAAAAAAAGAAGATGGCTTCACCTAAAATAACATATTAAGAAAAACTGTTACAAATGAGTAATAACAAATGTATTAGTAACAAAACTTAATGAATGACATAAAAATGCAGACCTGCAGCCGTGTGGATTGAGATTGCAAAGCCACCAAATGACTTTCACACTTGTTGGATAAAAGAGTGGATGTTTTTGGTGGTTTGCCTTCCGGGCTAAAAAAAAGAGTGGATGTTTTCAGTGCTGCTTCACTTCTTTCAGTAAACCATTGTTTCATCCGTTGGCGTAAAAAGTCAATTAGCTTAGAAATAGAATACTCCCAATCACATACATTAAAACTATTCAATGACTCAGCACAATTTGAGGTCAACACAGCAAATCTACGTGGTTCAACCATGCACCTAGCTCATCTATGATTGCCAAGCTTGTCTAACCAAGGACGGATCTTAATATTTTCAGAATCCAACATAGACATGTATCCTTCATACTCCTTCACTGTGGTTGCACCGTAGGCTGCCTTAAATTTCCAACCAATACCATCAGATGTCACTTTGAATTTAGAAATCAAATTCTTTTTAAGGTGTTCAACACAAAAACCATGAATGGAATGTGGAAACACTTTAGTGGCAGCACTGATTATACCTTTATGACGATCAGACAAAATATACATATTCTGTCGGAACTTGAGTGAATCACGCAATTTGAAAAAAACAAAAACCATAACCACGAGGCTTTGCTTCCTGAGTCACAAATACCAAAGGTTAAAGGAACAATTTGATTGTTCGCATCTTGTCCACAAGCAGTAAGTAGTGTACCTTTATAGTAGGCCTTCATGAAGGAACCATCCACAATTAATACAGGTCTATAGAACTCCCAAGTTTGAATCCACGCAGCTAGTGAGAAGAAAAAATACCGAAACTCATTGTCAACACCTCTAATAAGATCTATTGAAGAGCCATGGTTTGATTTAGCAAGAATGTATGCCATAGAAGGCAATAATTGGTATGAGTCTGCATCAGAACCGAACTGCTTTTGCATGGCAGTTTTTTGTGCTTTCCATGATTTCTTATACGACATAGAAATGCCAAATTCCAAACTCATTTCAAGTCTTATTTGTTTCGGGGTGTATGGCTTCTGTGATGCATCAAGAAACTTGTGTGCCACCATATCAGCGATGATATGGTACGTAGCTTACCGGTGTTTTCCCCGTCTCTCATCAATAGAACAAGTATGTAGAACATCGAACCTGCAGGGACAACTATGTTAATGACATATTAAGTACATGGCAATTGCATAAGGTGATGGCAATAAATGAAAGAAATGTATACACTGTTTGTGGATACCTTCGAAACTGAAACATGGCAACCCCACTTAACTTCACAGCACGGACAACCCATTTGCACTTCTCACCCACACAAACGACATGCAAAGAAGTCTTGGTTGATGTGCGGGTGTCATATCAGAAAGTATTGGTAATAGCATACATCTTAAGGCGATAAAGAGGGTCTTTCTTGCTCTTATAAATGACATCAAGAAGAATACAAGTCGGATCATAGTGTGTGAGTACATCAACATTATGGGGAATGGATAGTGTTTGAGAGGAGGACTGTTTAGATAGAGAAGAAGGGGGATAGGAATTGGAGTGGTAGAACAATCTGATGAGGAAGACTCACTACATGATGAACTGTTCCCTCAGTCATCAACATTAGACAAATTGATAGGTGAAGAAGGAGATTGGTTAGATGGTAAAGAAGAAGGAAATTCATGTGGACAAATAGATTGATCAACTAAATGATGAGATGGTAAGGAAATATCAACTTAAACATTTTGATTAGAGATGAACTCCATACAAAGGGGATACTTTTTAAAATCAGATTGCAAAACCTTGAGATGAAGATAAAATTGGAATGTTTCCTCATTATTAATCCAAACGGGAGGGGGGCACCATTCACCATATAAGAAAGTCTAAACAAACGGTGTGGCTTGAACTGATTTAAGATGACACACATACTTTCAATGAATGATATGTATGCTGAATGTGGATGAACATGAATACGACAACTTTGAGAGAGCATGAAGGTGTAGTCAGGCAACCACAAACCATCCAATTGCAACATAATCAATAGGGGAGAATCCATCTGGAAAAACAATATGAAAAATGAGAAGTAATACCTAATAAAATAAGTGATAGTAATTTGTATGCACATATATGTAACAGTAAATCATTAAAAATCAGGTTACAAACTATAAGTTGAAAGATGGCATATAGGACAAGTATGGCATTGACATAAAAACGTATGACATAATTGTTTGCAGAATACATATGAAATACAAGTGACTTGGGCTCAATGAACAGACATTGAAATCATGATAAACGTAATGCAAAAACATTCTAAAGCATATTAAACTAAATCATAAGTATGTTCATGAACTAAAAAATAAAAATAAAATACAAATTGATGTTATAAAAAACAATCAGAATATAGAAAGAGAGTACAGAGGCTTCACAATTCATTATGTTTAAATAATAAAATAGTGACACAGACAAGAAGAAAATCACATGTTGCTATTTATTAAAAATATGATCGTGATCAACAAAATTCTGAGAAAAAGGATCGTAAACACAAAATGTATGAAGAAACATGTAATTAATGAAATAGATGCAGAGTAAATGATCAAATATGAAATTTTATAAGAACTTCATACTATATTGATGGAATTAGCTACGAAAACGTACATACCTACGATAGAGCTTCACGGTAGTCGTATGAATGCACAGACCGTTGATGAAGAACGAAGATAGAGTGCGGAAGAAGACGCGAGATGCGGAAGTCCGAAAAGTAACAATTCCTTTCCAACAAGCGCAAGTCAGAAGATTTTTTAATATAGAATATTCTCATATAATTTTCATATTTAATTTTAAATAATTTTATATTAAAAAATATCATTAGACAAACTTAACTATCATTGATAAAAAATTGTCAATTTGACCCATCTTTTTGAGACAGAAGAGTATTCAAATCTTATTTCATAGTGATCATAAAAATACATTCATAGTAATTCTAGTCGCATTTTTATTAAAATATATTAAGACTTTATAATAAGACTTTATTAGAGAGGATGGATGAAATAAAAAACAAGGACCTGAACTCCAATCACATATTGTAAGCTTGTACTCCGATCAAAAAACTATGTAGATCATGAGATAATTACCCTAGGTATAAATAAAACTCCACCACTTTACCAATCTATGACCTATCTAGTTTTTATCCTAAAATAATATTTGAATATACAAAATTTAATTAGTTTCGTAATTAATTAATTAATTAATAATTTTTATGACTAATATAGCCTTTAGGTTATACCTATAAAACCCTAACCTTCCACATCTTTTCTCCAACACTAGCCTCAGTCTTCAACCCTAATCCCAGGTCGCGTTCCATTCCCCGACTCGCCATCCAGCCGCATAGCCGCTGCCGTCTTGTAGCGCCGCCGCCTAGCCCCTACAACGCTCAACACGCAGCTTGCCTTGTACCCGTCATTAATGCCCTGATGTCGTAGGTCAAGGAGGCGCACCGGTCCATGGGCGGCCGCAGCACAACCACCACCGCCTTCAAGGTCGGACGCTCCAGGAATCTACAAAACAGAAAGATGCAGTAGGTCTACCTGCCCTCCCCTGCCATCATGCGTTTGACCAATTTCGTATGGAGGACCATCGTTTGTGGTTAATCAATTTGGGGTTTGTGGGTTTCTTTTGGCTTTTTTTGTGAAATTAAGGTTTGTGATATTGAACATGGGTTGGAGGTTTGGAGCAATTTGATGACACGGAGAAGGCTGCTGCTCTAGATCCGTTTCTAGCTTAAACTTGGCCCTCCTTTCTATTTTTGAAATTAGGAGTTTCAAAAACAAAAATGATGTTTGTACACACTCTTATACACACTTTTGTACACACCTATGTCTGTGAAAGCTTTTTTTTTGTCTGTGAACATCGATTCACAGACAATGTTTTGCACAAACAAAATATTGTCTGCGAACCGGATTCACAGACAAAAAAAAGCTTCACAAACATGGTGTGTATAAGGTGTGTACAAGGGTGTGTACATCAAGAATGGTTGTTTCAAAAATTAGGGTGTGTCTCTGTGAGCATTAAATATGGACAACTAGGGGTGGATTCGGTTCGGGCCACCCGGCCCGTGGCCCGGCCCGGGACCGGCCCGGTCGGGCGGTCCGGGACCGGGTGTAGACCCGAACCGGTGGGAATGGGCGGGGCAGGCATGGTTCCGGAAAAATGTGACCCGGCCCGGCTGGGTCGGGCCCAGGCCCGGGTCCGGGTCCAACGGTCCTATTTTAAAAAAAATGTTAAATACCTACTAGCCGTTATGGCCTTGGGGGTGGGTTGGGGACAACCCAAACGGCTATATAGCCGTTGGGTGGGGATCCGGGGGGGTCCGGGGGGGTGGGGGGTAAAAAACCTATAAATACTCCTAATTCTTCCTAAATCCTATTCTTAACTTTCTACTCTCTAATTCTCTTATTCTCCATTCTCCAATATATTATATTTAGGCTAAAGGGTCAAATAGGTACATGAACTAACTTAAAGTGTTCAATTAGCTCCTTATATAGGAGGTTCTGTTCGGACGTCGCCAATTAGGGTGGTTCCCGGTGGAATTTTTTGATGAAATTTTGTGAGCATCTTCTTCATTAAGTTTAGTTTACTCATACCAAATTTCAGCTAAAACTTCAACCGGAAAGGCAGTCAAATGATTTTTTGAAGATAACTGCGCAGTTAAACAGCGCAGTACATTTCGGAAAATCATTTGACTGCCTTCCCGATTTAATTTCTAGCTGAAATTTGATATGGGTAAACTAGACTTAATGAAGAAGATGCTCAAAACAATTCATCAAAAAATTCCATCAGAAACTGTCCCAATTGGCGAAGGCCGGACAGAACCTCCTAAATAAGGGGCTAATTGAACACTTTAAGTTAGTTCATGTACCTATTTGACCCTTTAGCCTTATATTTATTATTTATAGTTTATATTAATTATCTACTTATATAAATGATGGAGTATATGGGTCTGAGCCCCAGGACCCACATACTCGGAAGAACAGAAAGCACAAGACAACAGAGTGGCGCCCTCGTCGGCCAAGACGCCCCCGTCGGCCGAGAAGAAGCCAACTCGGATCATGGTCCTGAGTCCAAGGAACCCGGGTGCCCTCGTCGGCCGTGCCCTCGTCGGCCACGAAGACCTCCCAGAATCGGATTCTATACTTACTCATTTGTACAGCCCATTAGAGGCTTTGTATTCGGCCCAGTAGTGGTCCAGTTGTAAATGGGCCTCCCAAGCCCAAGGCTTGGGAGCCCAGCCCTAATTTTCTCTATAAATACTCCCCTTGGGAGTAGTTATAGGGGTTACAAATTCATTCTATTGAATCATATTATTGCACCTCTCTCTCTAGCTCTCACTTCTCTCTAGATATACTCTATCATTTGGTGCTCTCGTTGAGAGCTAGAACAATCAAGTTAGCACCCTTCGTCGCTACCAAGCACAGCTAACCACTGATCATGGGGAGAACTAAGTCAAACCGCAACCTCGTCAGCAAAGTCATCCCTGAGGACCAAGAGCCCAGGGAGCACGATGAGGAAGCCACGGCCGACCAGGTCGGCGGAGGGGACCTCTTCCAGGAGGCCTTCAACCTCACGACGGACTTCCGCAACCAACTCAACGGCGGAGTCCCCGACGCCCGCCTCGGCCTGGAAAAGAAACGAGCTGAGAAAGCGGACCACGCCCCGGCCCAGCCTATGGCCGCGGCCTCTCCGTCCGTAGATCCTCAGGTCCAGGCCGCCCTATCGGTCATCATCGCCAGCTTGGCTCAGAATCCCACCGTCCTCAGCGCACTCTTGCCAAGGACCGGGGGAAACGTCACTCCACCTCCTCATCCCCAACCGTTGGCCATCCAGATAGGCAACAATGAGGGGGTTGTGGCCCAGGACACGGCGTCGTCCCACTCCCACCCTGCTTCCCCTCTCCGGCCCGGGCAGACCCCAGCGCGTGGAAAAGCCTCTGCCTTCAATAGGCTAGGTGACCCGCACCGTCGTCCGGTTTCGGAGAGGATGGCGGGACGGATTGGTGATCCTCGTCCTGGCTTGCCGAGGGAGAGTTTGGGGTCTGTGTCCCGGACAGCGGATCAGCCCCGCCCGGACAAGGGCAAGGGGAAGTTGCACGAGGATGACGTGCGTCACCAGATCAACGCGGCTCACAACGAGCGCCTGAGGAACCAGCCGGGTGCCGCCGCGGCCGACAGAGACCCCCGGGACGAGGTCATTGCCCAGCTGGAAAGGAGGTTGGCTCAGATGGAGGCCAAGCAGTCGGCCAACATCCCTACGGTCGGCGCCTCCAACGACCCCGGCCTCAACGCGCTCATGAACAAAGTCAGCGCCCTGGAGAGGGAGCTGGCCGAAGGGCGAGGTGACCCCATCATCCAGGTCAGGACTAGGACCCCTTTCACCAACAGGGTCCTCTCGGCCCCCATCCCTGAGAAGTACAGGGGGAACACCATCAAGTCCTACGATGGCCGATCAGACCCCCAGGAGCACTTCAGCCGCTATCAAAACAACATGCTAATGGTGAACGCGTCCAACGAATACCTCTGCCGTTGGTTCCTCTCTACTCTCGAGGGGCCAGCGTACGAGTGGTTCAACGGGCTGCCAGAAGGAAGCATCGACTCATGGCAGGATCTCGCCCAGCGCTTCCTCACTCACTTTGCCGGGAGGAAGCGCGCGAAGAAGTATTTCACCCACCTCCTCTCCGTCAAACAGCAGCACGAGGAGTCCCTCCGGTCATTCATCGACCGGTGGACGAGGGAGACCGAGGAGGTCGAGGGGGGCGATGAGCGCACCCTCCTCGCCTTGTACCAGGGAGCCCTCCGCAGCTCCCCGTACGCCAGGAGTCTCATCACCGACCCCCCGAGGTCGTACGCCAAGGCGCTCCAGCGCGGAGGCTTGTATGCCGACGCCGACGAGCTCCACAACCACAAGAGGGAGGGGGGCCATCCCCCCAAGAAGACAAATCCTTCGCCGGCCTCGGGTCCGTCCCCGGCCGGCCAGGGTGCCCAGGGCCGCCACGGCTCTGGTGGACAAAGTAAGAAAGACCGCCACTGGCGGCCGAGGCTGGAACGGCCGGGGGTAGCCCTCATCCACCCGGTCGGCACCATCCTCGATTATGCCGAGAAGCACGGCCTCATCGAGCAGGCTCCTCGGCCGGCCGAGGAGATCCTGGCCATCCAGCAGGGCGGCACGTACTGCCGGTTCCACAAGAACTCGTCGCACAATACCGACGATTGCATCACACTGAAGAAGGCCATCGAGCGCCTTATTCGCCAGGGGGAACTCTCCCAGTTTGTCAAAGGTGGCCCACGTAAAAACACTTGGGTAAACACCGGCAAACGTGGGGGCGAACCCCCTGCGAAGAAGCGCGAGATTGGTAGGCTCAGCGACGACGAGGACTTCGAGGAGCCTCCGCCGAAGAAGAATCACATCCACCTCATCGTAGGCGGGAACACTGGGGGGGACTCCGCCACTCAGAGAAAGAAATGGGCCCAATCCCTTTACATTGGAGAGGTGTCCCACGTCCCCCCCAGCCGAAGAAGCAGCGAACGGAGGCGATCACCTTCACCGACAAGGATCTGCCTCCGGGTACGGAGTCACACAGGGACGCCCTCGTCATCCGATGTGAGATCAGTGACTCCATCATCCACCGTACTTACATCGATACGGGGAGCTCCATCAACGTGATGTACCTAGACACCTTCAAGCAGCTGAAGCTGGACAGAGCTCTGCTGAAGCCGATCAAGACCCCGTTATCCGGCTTCACCGGGGACTCTATCGACGTCGAGGGCACGATAGTCCTCCCCGTGGAAGTCGGTGACGGCCCCCATCATGCCAAAATTGACATGGAGTTCATGGTGGTCAACCTCCAGTGCGCCCACAACCTGATCTTGGGCCGGCCAGCGCTGGAGGACTTGGAGGCCATCATCTCCATGAAGCACCTATGCTTGAAGTTTCCCACCAATGACGGCATCGGCTACGCCAGAGGAAACCAGAGGATAGCCAGAGCTTGTTACCTCAAGCTGACGAGGCCGGACGAAAGGGAAGGACAGCAAAAATTTCTTCAATTGATAAATTTCATTACAATTGGGGGGCACTACGGCCGTTACATCACTTGGCAAAAAATTGAAAAGCTAATTACAAAAAGTAGCCAATCAAGCTTCGAGGGCACCTCCATCTGCGGCCGCCTCATCGGCCTCATCAGCTCCCTCTTCGTCCTCAACTTCTTGGCCGGAAGCAGGTGCAGCACTGGTAGCATCATCAAGGAAGTCGAACTCGGTGTAGTCCGGCTCGCCGAGGCCGGAGCTCTCTATGGGGGACTCCCGCTCCGACAGCGGAAGCTTGGCCTGCTCTTCGGGATCCTTCATCAGCTTTGGCAGCTTCAGGTTCCGTCTAGCCCATCCAGACGTGTAATTCATGGTCTTCAACGCCCGGGATAGCCGCCGACACAGGAGCCTTTGCATCCGCTCCTGGCCCAGGTTGTAGTAAACGGACATCTCCCGGCTGAAATACTCCCGGCCGGCAGGGGAGTTCATACCCCAATTCTCCAGCCTGGCGGCCACCACTTCGTAGCACCAGGGGAGCCTCTCATCGGCCTTCCACCCCTCGGCCAAGAACTTCTCAACGGCCTCATCGGCAGCCTTCACGACGGCGGCCTCGGCCTCAGCCTTCGCCTTGGCGGCCTCCTCGCTCTTGCGCTTCTCGGCCTCAAGCGCCCTGTGGGACTCCGCGAGCTCCCTTTTGCTCTCTTCGAGTTTGACCAGGGCATCGTCCCTGGCCGCGACGGCTTCATCAGTTTGGCCTGCAGCGCCTTGGCATCCTCCGGGAGCCGGTCAAGGCAAGCTACCGCCTCGTCGGCCGAGGCAGCCTTCTGCTCCAGCGCTTGCAGACGGGCTATCTCCCAGTACTGCCTCTTATGGCTTTCCATAAGCATGAAGGCACTCTGCAGAAGAAAAACAAAGGTCAAGCAAAAACTCTACATAGACGAAGAGAGACAAGAATATAAGGACAATCACTTACTTGGACGAGGAGATCCATGCCGCCCTCATAAATCTTCGGGTCCTCGAGCTTCTTCAAATGAGCCCGATCTTTGGCCGGCATGGCCTTGGCCAGGACGACGTGGCCGGGGACGAGCTCATTAAACACGCCCCCGCCGACGGGGTACTCTATCACTTTCTGATAGGTGGCACCGGCAATCTCCTTGCCGGCCCTCTGCGTCCGTGGTTCCTGGACGAGAGGAAGCACTGGGGCGGCATCATCAGCAACAGTAAGGTCCACAACGGGACCACCATCGCCCACGCTGGGGACAGTAAGCGTACCGGCCTCACTAGCCGGAGAAGGGGAAGGAGCCCTCTTCGTCTTCTTAGAGACGCTCACGCCGGCCTCGGTCAACTTTTTCTGGCCATCAGTGGCCGGTCTCTTTTTCTTGGACGGGGCAGGCTTTGGGGCCGCGTCAGCAGTAGCCCCGCTCCCACCAGCAGCGGCACGTCGGGCCGCCTCGGCCGCCTTAGTAGCCAGCTCTTCGGCCGCCTTGGCCTTAGCAACGGCCATTATGGAACGCCGGTCCATGACAAAGTCTACAAAGGAAAAACAAACAGATTAGTAAGGCAAAGGACAAAACGTAAAGACAGAAAGCCGAAGAAAAATTACCATCGGCCTCAGCAGGAATGCCCAAATCCGGGCCATCGGCCTCAGCAAATGTGGTGGTCATCCTCGGCCAGAGTTGGAGGTCATCCTCCTTATCTCCATACAAGTGATATCTGAAGAAGCCGAGGGCCGTCATCTTGTATTCAGTGACGTAATCTTTCACGCTCCTCGGCCCCCCTTCCAGGAAAGCCTCCACCTGAGCGTCCAAAATAGAGCTCTTCGGCGGGTCATGAAGATTGAATCTCCCGGTATGGCCGAGGGAGGGGAACTCGGTGCCACTCTCACCAATGGACACAAACACGAACTTGCTCTTCCACCCATGAATGGACGTAGGCAAATCCGTGAAGCTCCTCTTCCTCGGCAGCTGTTGAAGAGTAGCATAGGCCGCACAGTTCTTGTGGCTTCCTCGGCCGATCTGGTACAAGTTCATGAATAAAGCCGTGGTCGGCCTGTAGCCCAACTCCTCACACCGAAGCAAGAAGCCCACTATCAAGGAATAACTGTTCGGCGTCAGCAAGGCCGGAGGAAGCCCCACCATGTCCAGATACTCAGTGACGAAAGGGTGAAGGGGGAACCTCAACCCCTTAGCAAAACTCATCGGGTATACTCCGAAGTATCCCGGTGGCGGAAGTAGAACATGGTCCGTCGGCCTGGGTGCCCTAACCCGCCCGAACGGCCCCACGTACATCTGGGCGACAAGATAGTCGGCCGCACTGCTCTCCGGCTTGATCAGGAATATGTTGGTGAGGTCCAAGTAGGAGAGGCCCGGCCCATTCTTCGGCCTCCTCACCCTCTTCGGCTTAGCATCGCCCTTCACGGCAGAAACCGGCCTCGGGCACGGAACGGCAGCAGAAGTGGACGCCCCGTCCACCGCTCGGGACGCGCCTACGTCCTCACCCTCTGAAGAGGAGGCGAACTCCTCATCCTCGCCTCCCTCGTCCATCAGCTCTCCGGATTTGTAGGGGCTCAAACGCTCTATCTCCTCTTCAAACTCCTCGAGCACCTCGTAGTCAAGGGACCTCGTGGAGGGCTGGTCGTCGTAGGGGTAGTAGTCCTCGTTCAAGCTCTTCATTACTACTACTACGGACTTAAGGAGAACAACTTACGATCTAAAGGTGTTTAAACGCCTAACACTAGATCAACTACTTACGGAGCAAAATATGAAAAGTGAGGAAGATCGTGATGAACACTAACCTCAAACAACGAAGAACACGAAGAACAGGCTTGGGAGTTTATCTCTCTAGAAAATCGGCCAACACTTCGACAAATTCAGAATGCAAATGTGATTCTTCGTCGGAGGGGACGGGGTATTTATAGACCCCCCCCACCAACGGTCACTACACGTGGCACTCTCCCAATGGCCACATCAACGGCCACCAATGGGAGGCCACCACGACACCAACGAGCCAGGCCCAAGCCACATCAACGGACCACTGGCAAATCAGACTCTACGGCCTACACACGCTCAACGACTTTACAACTGCCAGCAAGCGCCCACAACGTCCCACTTGCTCACCAATATCACAAATGCCAAACAATAAGAGGATGGCAACGGCCAGGAACGTAACGGCCACAGAACAAAGGGGACAGATAGCCCACAGCCTTCGGCTCCTCGTAATAACCCTTGATGATAACTCTCTACAAGCGATCTGTGCACAAAGGTTCTCCCACAGGGTTACCTTGGCCAGAAAATCGCCATGAGAGTTGGATTCAGGGGGACTACGGCGAAACCGCTTCGGCCAGGGACTCAAGCAACTCCTTCACCCCTCACACTCTTCGGTCTGAAGCAGTGGGGGACTGGGGGACTACACCGGCCTCAACAAAACAAAAGAGAGTGCAAACAAGGTGACCACGGAGCATGGCCACATCGGCCACGCATCACACTGCACCTCGTTGACCCAAGGTACACAACGTCATCTGCAACGGCCAACGGGCCACCAAAGGCAAGGACGCTCATCGTCCTTCGCCATCACTTAATCACGAGGGGCTCTTCGGCCAAAAAAACACGAAGGCCAACCAACAACGGCCACACAAAGGAAATGAGGCCATCGTCCTCAAAGCAAGGAACAACCTCAACGGCTTCACCGGCCCAAACATAAACTTCAACCACCAACGGCCAGGAAAGGGAAAGCGCGCCTTCAACGGCCACCATTGAAAGAAGGACACTCATCGTCCCAAAACAAATTAAGGAAACAACGGCCTCCCCGCCCACAGCGAGGAACAGGTAACGGCCAAAAGCAACAAAGCACAGAAATCTACTCTCCTTCACTTCGTCTACATCTCAGCTTAGAGAGTGGGGGACTCCTGATGGAGTATATGGGTCTGAGCCCCAGGACCCACATACTCGGAAGAACAGAAAGCACAAGACAACAGAGTGGCGCCCTCGTCGGCCAAGACGCCCCCGTCGGCCGAGAAGAAGCCAACTCGGATCATGGTCCTGAGTCCAAGGAACTCGGGTGCCCTCGTCGGCCGTGCCCTCGTCGGTCGTGCCCTCGTCGGCCACGAAGACCTCCCAGAATTGGATCCTATACTTACTCATTTGTACAGCCCATTAGAGGCTTTGTATTCGGCCCAGTAGCGGTCCAGTTGTAAATGGGCCTCCCAAGCCCAAGGCTTGGGAGCCCAGCCCTAATTTTCTCTATAAATACTCCCCTTGGGAGTAGTTATAGGGGTTACAAATTCATTCTATTGAAGCATATTATTGCACCTCTCTCTCTAGCTCTCACTTCTCTCTAGATATACTCTATCAATAAACTATAAATAGATATAAATAGTATTATATTACTTATATTTGTTATCTAATTATATATTACTTATATATTTATTATATCTATTAATATAGTTGGAATTATATCTAATTAATTTGAAGTCATTCTATTACTCCCATCCGAAAGACCGAAAGTCCGAAAGAGGTACGAAATTATTCTATTATTTACACTTGTTTAATTTTGTATTAACGTTACTTGAAAAAAACTAGTTAATTAGGTTGTACAATTTGCTATAACTCGAATTAATAGTTAGATTAATAGTTAATTACTTTATTACAATTTTTTATTAATTGTTAGTTGCTACATTTGACTCTACTTTAAAAAACTAGTTGTAATTCTAATTATAGTTAAAGTTAAAGTGTATTAATTTCATTGTTAGTAAAAAAAAATATGTTGTACTCATTGTACACAAAACTAGTTAATTCACTAGTTAATTTGCTATAACTCGAATTAATAGTTAGATAAATAGTTAATTACTTTTTTACAATTTTTTATTAATTGCTACATTTGACTCTAGTTTAAAAAAATAGGTTGTACACAAAACTAGTTAATTCACTAGTTAATTTGCTATAACTCGAATTAATAGTTAGATAAATAGTTAATTACATTTTTACAATTTTTTATTAATTGCTACATTTGACTCTAGTTTAAAAAAATAGGTTGTACACAAAACTAGTTAATTCACTAGTTAATTTGCTATAACTCGAATTAATAGTTAGATAAATAGTTAATTACATTTTTACAATTTTTTATTAATTGCTACATTTGACTCTAGTTTAAAAAAATAGGTTGTACACAAAACTAGTTAAATCACTAGTTAATTTGCTATAACTCGAATTAATAGTTAGATAAATAGTTAATTACATTTTTACAATTTTTTATTAATTGCTACATTTGACTCTAGTTTAAAAAAATAGGTTGTACACAAAACTAGTTAATTCACTAGTTAATTTGCTATAACTCGAATTAATAGTTAGATAAATAGTTAATTACTTTTTTACAATTTTTTATTAATTGCTACATTTTTTAGATGGATCGTCCTAGATATTCGGTTGATATGGGTAACCTCGAGCGCAACCGTACGAAAGAGCTTGCGAGGAAGAGATCCCGCAAAGGTAAATCACATATCGGCTCTTCATCTCAAAGTCGAGATGATTTTGATACGGGTTACGCAAGGAGGGATGAGGATGCGATGACCGACGAACAACTAGAACAAGAATTGCAGTTCTTATTGGAGTTCTTCTTAGATATAAACAACATTTTCCTGCTTTTATGAAACAATATGATAACTATATTATAAACTCGGCTGAGATCGACACCTGTGAAAAAATTTGTAATGCTTTGATATATTTTAATAATGTAACTGAAACTTTTAGTCATGTTTATAAACCTGTGAAGCTGATAATCTCGCCGGTGCTTTTTCAAATTTTGAGAATGCTGATTATGTGAGTTATTTTGCTAGTGTTATGAAGGAAAAGTTTTTAAAATATTATTCACATATTCCGCATATTTATGGTATTACATTTGTTCTCGATCCTCGTTTTAGACTTGGTTCTTTAGAAGAATGTTTGAATTATTATTATGCTGCTTTTTTTGGTCCATTGCCAATGTATGAGGACAACCCAATTGATCCGAAAAAAGAATACAACGAGGTTAGTAATATATTTTATGCATTATTCAATGAGTTTCATGCACAATATGGCAATGCGCCCCCTCCCCCGACACAAACATCATCTAAAGGAAAATCAATTTTCAAATCTACGTTTGCCAATCTTATTAAAAAAACGAAATCAACTTCCGCTACACAACAAAGCACAATTAATGAGATTTCTTTGTATTTAACTTATGATGTTGATTTTGAAGAAGATGATGATTTTGACGTACTAAACTGGTGGAAGGGAAAAGAAAGAATGTTCCCGGGTTTAGCAAAGATGGCTAAGCAAGTGCTATCAATGCCGGTTTCAACGGTTGCCGTGGAACAAGAATTTAGTTCGGCCGGCAATGTCCTAACCCAAACCAGAACGAGGTTGAGCGCTGAATCTCTTGAGATGCTTATATGCTACCACGATTGGTTGAAAGCAGCCCGTAGAGCTCAAAAAATTGACATCACTCCATCTCAACACTTTATGGATGAATCTACAACCGAGGGTGGCTCTACCTATGCCGGAGATTCCGATTGAATGATTGATTAGTATTTCATGTTTTAAAAACAATTGTATTTCCTATTTAATTTTCAAATGTAGTTCCTATTTCATTTCAAATAAATGCACTTGAAGTTTGTTTTTTAATACTTGTATAAAACTATAAAGTATAAAATATAAATTATAAAAACAAAAAAAAATATTTAACCGACCCGGCCCGGCCCGACGGGTGGCCCGACCCGTGACCCGGGCGGTTGGCCCGGCCCGAACCAGACCCGTCCAACCCTCGGGCCAGTCCCGGGCCCATATCATACAAAACGGCGGCCCGGCCCGAATCCACCCCTATGGACAATGAATATGGGAAATGAACATGATAGATATTGTTGAGTATGACAAGTGAATTTAGTATTTGTGGTAGGGTTGGATTCGGTTCGGGCCACCCGGCCCGTGACCCGGCCCGGCCCGGTCGGGCGGTCCGGGACCGGGTATGGACCCGAACCGGTGGGAAGGGGCGGGGCGGGCTCGGTGCGGGATTATTGTGACCCGGCCCGGCCGGGTCGGGCCCGGGCCCGGGTCCGGGTCTAATTTAAAAAAAAATTGGTTTGGGCTACTAGCCGTTGGGGGTGGGGGTGGGGACAACCCAAACGGCTATATAGCCGTTGGGTGGGGTAAAGGGGGGTCCGGGGGGGTTGGCTGGTGGGGGGGGTGGTGGGGGGTGGGGGGTGGGGGGTAAAAAAACATATAAATACTCCTAATCTTAAACATTTTTTCATATCTCTTCTCCAATTCTTCCTAAATCCTATTCTTAACTCTCTACTCTCTAACTCTCTTATTCTCCAATATATTATATTTATTATTTATATATACTTAAGAATAGGGTTGGACTCGGGCCGGGTGGCCCGACCCGGAACCGGCCCGGGACCGGTACTGTTCCGGCCCGAACCGGTGGCCCGATCAGTGACCGGTCCGGGTAGGCCCGACCCGGTGGGTTTCCGGTCCGGGCTCGGGTCACCCATAACAAGGCCCGGCCCGGGCCCGGTTCGGGCCAAATTTATTTTTTTTTTGGTTTTTTTCATTTGTTTGGGCTCCACCGGGTTGGGCTTGATGTTTAGGAGGGGTTTGGGGGGTGGGGGTGAGGGGGGGGGTCAGGGATGGGTAGCTAAGCAAAAAAAAAAATAACCAAACCCGAGGCCCGGCCCGGCCCGGACCCGGACCGGACCCGGTGGCTAACCGGGCCGGACCCGGGCCGGACCCGGACCGGACCCGGTGGCTACCCGGGCCGGACCCGGACCGGACCCGGTGGCTACCCGGGCCGGTCCCGGGTCCAGCTATATAGAACCGTCGGCCCGACCGGGCCCGACCCGGCCCGAGTCCAACCCTACTTAAGAAGTTAAGATGGAAAATCAAGATGCCATTATACGGTATAATTTTGATAAGCAGAAGGACCCGAAGACCGGGATGTGGTACGCAATTTGAAAATGGTGCGAGAAAAAATGTAGCATAGGGGTTTCTGGCGGATTCGGAATGGCAATCAAGCATATGAAGTCATGTGACAAAGTCAAAGGATCGGGAGGTGCGGGAAGTTCCGATTGATTACAATTTTCAAAATGTTTATCTGTTAAAGTTTGTTTTAACTTTCAAATGTAGTTCCTATTTCTTTTCAAATAAATGCAATTGAAGTTTGTTTTTAATACTCGTATAAAACTATAAACTATAAAATATAAATTATAAAAAAAATTAACCGGCCCGAACCGGACCCGACCCGTGACCCGGGCGGGTGGCCCGGCCCGGACCGGACCCGTCCAACCCTCGGGCCGGGCCCGGGCCCATGTCATACTACCCGGCGGCCCGACCGGGCCCGACCCGGCCCGAGTCCACTCATAATTTGTGGGCATTAAACACGGCCACATGGGCATCTAACATTGGCAGTAAACATGACAATAAGTGTTGTGTGACAGTAAATATGACAATATATATGTTGTACATGACATTGAATAAATGCATTGAGGAAGTTTGTTATACAGTGATTATGACCGATGATGCACTAACACAGAGCACTAATGCCGCCATGAAACACAATATACTTAATTAGATGTAAAATAATAAAATTAGTAATCTAAAAAAATAAAAAATAAAAACTATAAATAATTTCCTAAATTGAATGAGAAGAGAAGAGAATTAATTTTGACGGAAGTGCAATGATTATTACTGGATGACTGGATGTGCAGTAAATTCGTGCTGTAACAAAAATATAAAGTGCAGTAATTTTAATCGGATGAAATTAATGCAAAATGCACAAATTTTAAGTAGGGGTATTGTTGTCATTTAACTTTTAAATATAAACGAGTTTCTTTTTTTCTTTTTAATTTTCAGTCATGCAAAAATCCAAAAACTAGTTAGGTCATATATTGGGAAACTCATTAAGTTTTAGTCTAAATTCCCGTAGATCATTGATTTTGGCCTTTTGGGTGACAAATAAATCATACACGATACTACATTACTACAATAGTGTTCCTCGTCCAGCATTACAATTTACAAATCGAGATCATTTGAAATTAATTAATGAATAAAATACCTGCCCGATATTTTATTTACAAAACATTGGGCTTACTGCCTCTCTCAACTAGGTTAGGAAAACAAGAACAAACAAAATAATGAAGATACCGATCAAGAATAATATCATCATAATCTGACCCTTGAGAGTGGCCTTCTTCATAACCATAGCAACCCTTTTCTGCAAAAAAATAACTTCTTTTAATGCAGAATATTTAAAACTATTACTAATGAGTTCCAAATAATGACAGGTGTGAAAATATAGGAATCCCTTCTCTGGAGTTCAACCTCCACAAATTACATCAAACGTGACACAGAATGCTTTCCCCAAGTATGACAACAATACGATATTCGCAGGGGAACAAAAGTTGCAAACACAATACAACATTTGGTTCAAGTGGAGTGAAGGGAAGGTGGGGAATTTTGCTCATCTCCCCATGTTTTGTGTAAGGAAACAAAAGGAGGGGAGGAAAGCGTATTTTCGTATTTCCCCTCATACACCTCTACCTCTGTTAAGGGCCTCCGTATAAGTGTAGTCCAAGGGCGCTAATGATGGAAAGGGATGTGAAGCTAGGGTGTTTGGGATATTAAAAAAAGAAATTCACTTTTGGTCCCGTGATAATTATACCACTTCCACATTTAGTCCCTTACTTTCAGATTGTCCAGATTTAGTCCGTGAACATTATCCTCTCACCACCCCTCGTCCTTCCAGCCAAAATTCCGGCAAATTTAATGCAGATTTTAGGTATGAAAAACCAAATTTAATGCGAAGACTGATATGAAAAACCCAACCTTATATAAAATTTAATGCAAAGACTGCTTCAGAGGCTGATAAGTGGAATAAATTTGCCGGAATCTCGACCAGAAGGACGAGGGGTGGTGAGGGGATAATGGTCACGGACTAAATGTAGACAATCTGAAATTAAGGGACTAAATGTGGAAGTGTTATAATCTTAGTTTAAAAAAGCGCGCCTCAAAGGCGCGAGGCGCTTGTAGGCGAAGGGTTCATCGCTTTTTACTTACCTAGGCGGCGCAGGGTCTGAGAGGCGAGAACCTTTTACGCTTACTAGCGCCTTTTGCGCTACTGAGAGGCGAGCGCCTTTGACTCCACATGGAATTATCTTGCGTAGCTCTGAGCCCTTCCGAGTTTTGATTTATCTTGCGCTGCTCTTGCGTCGCAGAGGTAGGTCTTTTTTTTGTCTTCTGCTATTTTATCTTCTGCCTAAGTATTTTAAATTCTCTTTTATTTTCTGCTTACGTATTTTAAATTCTCTTTTATCTTCTGCGTAAGTATTTTAAATTCTTTTTTATTCCAAGTTCTTATATTTATAAAAATATTAAAATTATTTAAGTAAAAAGTTAGATAACTGATGCACATGTAGCATTATCTTTCACTATTTATAAGTTTTGATAGATTATAGATATTATTATTAACATTTTTTAACAATTTTTTTATGTAATAGTTTATTACATTAATTATTTAAATTACTATTAACAGTTTTTATATAACTTAATTATTTAATTTATCACAAAATGACTATTAATTGTTTATTACATTAGTTTGAAGTATTTTTGAGAAGAGTGCTTCATGTAGAAGTACTAAAAATATATTTAGCCAAGGAAATGTGGCCGAGATCCGTGAGGCGTGCGCCTCACCGCCTAGCGCCTCGTGCCTCAGGTAAATCAAAGAAATCGCCTCAAGGCACCTCTTTCCTTTTAAAACCAAGGTTATAATAGTCATGGGACTAAAAGTGGAATTTTTTCTTAAAAAACTAACTTTTCGCCCTAGGCAAGGAATGTCGCTAATGGTTCCCCTGGAGATTGAAAGATTAAATATTCCAAAGCTAATTATTTAAGGCAAAAACACATATTCCTAACACAAGAAAGGAAAGAGCTCTAAACTATTACAACTCAGGAATAAGATATGATTAAAACATGGAAAGCTAAATAATAGTAACAATTGGGATAAGGAAAGCTGATTCAATACCAACGGCCAGATTAACTTGTGGACCAATTAATTAGGCAAAGCTAATAAATAGTAACGGCTACTATAACTGAAAAGACTTGTATCGTCACTCCCTCCATTAACAACGAGCTTGTCCTCAAGCTCAAAATCCAAAAAGGCTTCCTGAAATGCAGCATAACTTTTCCAGGTGGCTTCTAATTCAATTTTCGTGGACCAATGTACCAAGAGCTCATACATAGCATCTTTGAGCCGAACCTTCAACACAGCCAAGGGTCAAACAAGAAGTGGTTCAGTCGCTATTGGTAGCAGATCACTCTTTGATAGAGACACTGGGAGGCAGTCAGCTAATAATAATAACAATATTAGCTACGATAGTAAAGTGTACTCTAGGAGAAGAAAGGGAAATATTAAATAGCTGTTGTAGTGTATAATGGAGCGGCTGGGATACTATAAATAGACAGCTAATGTGTAAAAGGGACACGCTGGTATTCTGTTGGTTGGGCTGGGATTGGAGAGTGGCACTCTTTAACTGCCAAAGACTTTCTCTGTTTTCTGTTATACGATCTCCAATATTAAGACTGTTTCCTACTTTATTTCTTCTTTCTATTCTTGAATTCACTAAGACTTAGCTAGCAACCTATCACCCTTCTGTGTTGGTGTTGAACCTGAGTGAGGATTCGAGAGGGGACATGAGAAATGTTATGAATGTGGGAACCCTGTACAAAGGCGAGGCAGTAGGAGGTCGGACAAATGATTTTGGAAGCTTGAAAAGGCCCGGGAAACTTAGGAAATAGTTTGTCGTTAGTGCAGCTAATAGTCAGTTGACGGTAAGGATGAATACGTAGCCAATCTCAGTCCCCCGGAACGTATATTACTTCGCAATGGCCCCTATGTACTGGAGCTTTATTCGTTGTTGAGCCTGAGATGGGCAGCTTTTGGTAGAGACCGGAACATGTACAACAACATCCAAGCCTTAATCCCAAAAGAAATTGGGATCGACTGACATGAATCGATCTATGATATCGATGCCAAACAGAGAGACAGACGGGGGGTAAGATAAAACAAATAAAATGAAGATAAATACCTAAAAGATAACAATAAAATAAGAATATAAGAAAGATAAAAGATAGAAAGATAAAAAAACATAAAAAAGCTAGAAGATAAAAATAACATAAGAATATAAAAAGATAAAGAAGATAAACGATAAAAGAAAGAGAGAAAATGTAGAAAAGACATCATTCGTCCACACGGATGTGCGCCCTCCACTTTGTTCTCTCCAAAGCCATACTCTCATCCAATCCAAGAAGATGCATATCAGTTCTGATTCCTTTAATCCAAGAATGTTTGGGTCTTCCCATCCCTCTCTTCTCTGTCTCTTCTCCCCACCCCTCAAATCATCTAACAGGTGCATCAATCGGCATTCTACGCACATGCCTAAACAACCGCAAACGAGACTCTTGCATCTTATCTTCTATAGGTGATACTCTCACCTTTTGTCTGATTATCTCATTCCTCAAACAATCTTTTCTGGTATGTCCACACATCCAACGCAACATACGCAACTCTGCCACACTTATCTTTTGAATGTGGCATTGCTTCACCGCCGAACACTCTACGCCATACATTAATGCAGGCCTAATTGTTGTTCGATTAAATTTACCTTTCAGTCTAGTCGGCATACCTTGATCGCATAGAAATCATGATGCACTCTTCTATTTCATCCACCCAGCTCTGATTCTATGACATACATCTCCATCTAATTCACCATCCTTCTGAATTATAAAGCTCAAATAACGGAACACATCACACACCGGTATCTCCTTACCATCAAGAGTAATCCCACTGTTGCTACTACTTCTACCTCCACCAAACTTGCACTCCATATACTCAGTGTTTGCTTCGGCTCAGTCTGAACATGTATTACACAAAAATTCAAAAACATCACTCCGTTGACTCAAAACAAGCGATGTGTTTGATTTGATCATATTTTGTTGTATTTTATCTATTTGAAGCCGTTTTCATGACATTGGAAAGATAAGTTAAATTTCTAAAACTCGTATTCGAACTTCATTTACCAAATACTAAAGGATTGGTATGTATTACATCGAAATTAAAAAAAAACTATGTTGACTCCAAACAAGCCAAGTTTTTTATTTGATCATATTTCGATGTATTTTGTTCCGTTTGAGGACATTATTATCTCATCGGAAAGCTATTCTAAAATCTCCCCAAGGTTGCGATTCTGGCTGTTAAGGCTTGGTGGGAGTGTGAGCTACTATTTCAGCTTCTATCGTCGTTTGAAATTGCAGATCTGGTGCTTAATGTTGCCGGTTGGCTAGAAAAAATAATTCATCAAATCTGCGCTCTTTGCTTCGGCGGTCTCTTGTCTCTAGTTAATGTCTAACATGAAAGATGAAACTATTAGAGGTTTTAGTGTTAAGACTTAGAGTTTTGTTGCCCAACGCCCTGGACGCTTATACCATTATTAAGGGTCGTGGTACAAGATCTAGTCCAAAGCCGGTGATAATGGAGAGAGAGGGGTGAAGCTATGGCGTTTCAAATTAAAAAAGAAACCTAACTCCCCGCCCTAGGCAAGGAAGGTGATCTTTAGTTCCATCAGCCGATTGAAAGATTAAATACTCCAAAGTTATTTATTCCAAGGGATAAGCCTTATATATAGGGTAAAAAGGGACAGATTCCTAAAGCAAGAATAGGATAGAATTCTAAACTACTACCTCCGTCCCGTTGGAAGGTTCCCATAGCAAAACGGCATAATTATTTAGGCAATAATTAAATAAAGTACTTCGAGTATATTGTGAGAAATAATTTTAATAGGTATATATTATAATGTAGTTAGTATTGATAACTGTGATGTTATAAACGTATTATTTTTAATATTTAATGATTAATTTGTCACTTAAGATGGTTATTTGTTTCTTAAAATGGAAATGGGAACCTTTATATGGGACGTTCAAAAAAAGAAAGTGAGAACCTCCTAATGGGATGGAGGGAGTAGTAATTTAGGAATAAGAGATTAACTATAATATGGAAGGCTATATAATTTTAAACAACAGGGACAAGAAAGATAATTAAACAAAATTAGGCTCCTTTCTAACAATTAGCAGTAATAACTCATTACTAAGTACTAACACATTGAATCTAGAAAAAGTGAAGGAAATAAAAAATAAAAAGGTGAAGGAAATAAAATACCTGAACAAAATCAAGACGAGTGGATGTACTGTCCAGCTCTACACCCAGTTCATCAATAAGCTTCTCCTGCCAATATTAAACACTAACATTAGCTAAGTATCCTCTCTTACAAATAAATCAAGTAGTGTGTAGACTACAGCAATCACCTGTGAGAGAAGCTCATCATGTATAGTAAGCCCAACACCTCCAATTCTTTTTACACTAGCACTAAGCTCATCCAGCTCATCATCCTGCTGCCTGCATGTAAAGCCTCTCCTTACATCATAATCATCACCACCAATTCACCACCTTAATTCCAACTAGTTGGAGTGGGCAGCATTTAGGCTCCATTTGTGAGCCATAATCGGCTTGTATCGCTTATCAGCAGAATAAGTACTATGTTACCAAATGATCCCTCCATTTAGTGTCAATTAATTGTTTAAAGTTACAAAACACCACTAGTTCATGCAGAGCAAAGAGCATTTTGGAAAAGTTTTACACATCCTTACGCTACCTTTATGTGGGATAGAATCCCAAAACAATTATTATCATGATTTCTTATACTTACATGGACATTAGAAATTATCATTATACAAAACAAGAACTCAAGCATGGCTTTCTTTTGAAATCAGTTCCCTGTGACTACATATAACATTTTATCTTAGCCATCCCATATCACGGGTAAAAAAATCCTTAAAAGAAGCTATCGCAAAGGAGGTTCATAGCAGAAAAATGCATAACTTTTAGTGGTCTAAAATTACCAAAGATGGGGAAAAGCAACCTTCGTCTATCACCAACTTACAACATATAGCTAGCATCCTTATAAAAAATTGCAAAAAGAATTGGTTTTAATGAAGTGCCTTCACAAAAGCACTGAAATCTATGACTCATCACAAAAAGAAGACTTCTAATTCTATGGAATTCATGAAACTAAAAATTATAATAATAATAATAATAAATTTACTTTGAGGTCCACTTTAACAGCACTAAATCACTAATAAAGATAGTAAGGATACATGAAACACTCTAGTACTAATGGTCTGCTTGGAAGTTGGAACCAGAAAAGTGCTAAGGAAAGAAAACGTGGAGGTAATTATTGTGGAAATTTGGAAGACAAGACAAATTGATGGGGGGAAATCAAACTAAGTCGATTAATTTAGACATTCGTTGAATTGTATGTTATGTTATATACACACACACATACATATATATATATATAGTATAAATATTAAGAAATCTAAATATGTTAACATTTAAGAAGTTGTAACTTGAAGCCAAAACTGATTTCCCTTTGTATTTTTCAAGGTAAAATCAAACAAAAAGGACAACTTTCCGTAGCATTTCCTTTTTCCTTTCCCCACCATTTTCCCGGGTTCCAAACAACGCCCAAAAGATGAGAAGTGGTCGGTCAAAATGAAAAGCATGCAGAAAGAGAAATTCCATTCAAACGAGACTGTGAGAGAGATTACTTAATGAGGAGTAACTGTTTATCAGATTCCGCAGATACAAAATCATCACTGTTTGGGTTAGTGCTTCTTTCCCATTTATCAGTCTGATGTGAATTTGGAAGCGCCATCAGCTCTCTTCGCATCTCCATAACGCTCAATCCATTTGACTCTTGTCCAGCTACTACCACTTTTTTTACCTTCCCCACCTAATCAATGCAAGATTAAAGTGATCGTCATGAAGAAAACTTACACAAGCAGCTCTAATATTTCAGCTCGCTACAGACTACAACAACTATGAAGCTAAAAGCCTAAAACCGAATATTACTTTTCTAAATTGAAATTCACTAGTAAATTTGTAATTCAAAGATATCACATTATATGGCTATGTCTGACGCCGCAGAAAGCTGAAACCTAGTAACAAGATGAAACCTGAAAGGTATTCTTAGAGGTGAAGTGAATCGCATAACTGAAGTGTTAATGAATATTGGATAGAAATTATTTTTAAAATCCACAGAGTTATTGCTGGGAAAAACTGAGCTTTTCTGTGAATGCTATAAGAGATAGCTGATAGCTTTTGAAATAATCTCTTTTTATAAATCATACTCCGTATTACTTTTACCAAGCAAAGCTTATAATTATATGTGCTAAAATTAGCTCTACCAAATCGAGACATGATACCTGAGTCCTTGCACCACTTGTCCATCTTCTTCGTTTGTCAAGCTCCATCTCATTAATACCATACCAAGCAGGATCCTTTGAGGCAACTGTAATTGTCTTGTCCAGCTCATCTACCTTCCTATTTGCAAAAACGTTTCTTTAGCATGGGCAGACTAGAATATACTCTCTGACCCAAAAAATGAATCATCATTCACATACTTTTTGTCCTAAAAGGAGTCTGGTTTTAAAGCCAAGTTAAGTTTTTATTTAAAATTCCTGTAAAGCCAGACAGCAAGCGACTTTAGATCATTACACCAAGTCTCCAAAAATCTAAGAAATAAATTTAAGGGGTATAAATGTATAAGCAACCACTCATAACTTGTAAAAGTCAATTCCTTGATTATGTTGACTAAAAAGTAAAAATAAATAACTGTATCTTACTCAATAAGGACTCTTTCTTTTTGGAAGGGATGGATTAACATCTAAAAGGTGCGAGTCAAGTTTATAAGCATCATGTCATGTATGAAAAATATTTTTCTCTTAAAAATTCATTAGGATTCCACCATATAAGTTATCAAACCTGCCATGTAATGCTCTGGCATGTAGCAATAAGCTCCTTCATGAGATGTTGATACTCTCCACTGCTAGAAGGAATGCGCTCCCATTGATGAAATGAAGACAGCAGCTTGTCAATCTATAAAAAGAGACACTTTCCACTCAGACTTATGCTCAATTATAGATGCAATCAGAGATAACTGATAATGAATGAAACATTAAGCACCCATCTTGTTGTGGGATTTATTTTATTTTTGTAGCATACAAAATAAGTAACTTAATGATATTGAAATAAGATCCAGATTCAATTCCAAGATTACTAATAAAAATCAGAAAACATGAAATAAAACTTACAGATTGTTGGATATCCTCCTTCACAATATAAAAAGGGTCTTGAGCTGAAGACATATTGTGGCCTAATTATAGAATGTTTGCCTGAACAAATGACTTAATTTGAGATCTACAAAACCAGAGACATCGCATCTCTTTAACATAAATGCCCAGAAAACTGAATATTCAAAAGATATTACTTTGTGATGAGAAAAGGCTGCACTTGAAAACTCCCCAAATGAACAAAAAAGTAGTCTGCAATGCAATGGGTTATGTTGTAATTTTCAGCAACAGAAATATCAAGATTATAAAACTCTATTGCAGATTCGAAGCCAGAAATGGAATGGAATGCATACAATGCGAAAGTGAGCTCAACCCCAGACCAATTCACAAGAACTACTGAAGATACTGAACCTAAATAGCCACTTTTCACGAACATTTTGAAACGAGATGCAAGGAAAAGGCGTGAAAACCCCAAGAAAAACGCGGTCAGAGAGCAAAGAGGGTTGTGATTCAAATACGGACCTCAGACTAGCAACAAACACGAACGAAATCACGAGATTAATCCAAAGAACCGAATTAAATCAAAAACGGTTGAGTTATGCTACGAAAATCAACCCCAAGGACCAAAGCTCCCGGCATGAGCTCGCTCGTAAGATTTCTTGGGGGCCGAAATATGCTCCCTCCTTAAATTTGTCAAACACTATAATGCTATAAAAACCATTGATAAAAAAATAGGGAAAAGGGGGGCAAAAAATGAAGTTTAAAGTGGACCATTTAAACACATAAGACATCTTTTTGGGTTACATTTGGTCACTCCCTAACCGAGCCGTCATCTGTCGTTAACTCCTTCTTCTCCCCCTAATTAAACGCTACCCAACAAAATTGACAACCCTAATTCATCTGTCATGAAGCTAATTCATCTGCCATGAAGATCCTTAGCCTGAAAGTAAGTGCGCTTAGAAGAAGAGTGATTACTTCCGTACGCACGTGAATGACTGGGAGTGCTTAGCTTCTGATTTTGGAATCCACAGTCACGCTTAAAGGTATTCACTGTACTTATTTCGTTTTCCTCTTAAAGGATGAGTGAGTACGTGAACCTGCGGTTTAATCACAGTGGGAGATGGATTTTGCACCCGAAAATGAAATATGTTGATGGGGATGTCCATACAATATATAGGTTTGATCCTGACTTTCTGTGATTTCATGACATACAAAGAACTTACAAAGAGGATTTGGGTTTCATAACACTAAAAAACATTTATGTCTTGGTACCCGGAAAAGATTTGGACAATGGGCTATTTCTAGTTGAAGATGATGACACAATTAGGATGATTTTGAATCGGATTAGGAATTTTTCTTGGATTGATGATATAGAGTTGTATGTTGATCATCAACTGGACGAGCACCTTCTCATTCCCCAAATAGAGTGGTCTTCTGTTCAAAACAACCAGAGTGAGAATGTGAGTAACCAAAGCCCTGAAACAATCAATGAGGGGGTACTTCCCCAAGAAACTAGAGGGGTGCCAAATGGTTATGTAAGTGATGGGGAAGCTGAAGAGGAACCACTAGATTCTGATAGTAGCAATGAAGAAGAGGAAGCAGAAGATAGTGATGAAGATGTGAGGGTTAACTACACTACCACAGATGGATCTACTTGCTTTATTATTGGGATGACTTTTGAAGATGTCCATGAGGCTAGAACTGCCATTGCAGACTATGGTGTCAAGTTTGGCTACAAGCTTAAAATCAACCCCAATGAGAAGAACAGATTGGCTGTAAAATGTCTGAACGAGGAAGGGTGCCCATTCAGATTATGGATATCTAAAGATGGGAAGAATTCTGGCTTGGCAGTTAAAGTATGCAATCTAGAGCACAAGTGTTTCAGACACTTTTCCATCCCCAGTGCTTCTCAGAAATGGTTAGCAAATTACTTCAAAGGTCACCTACAAAAAAATCCAAACTTTAGGGTTGCTGAAATGAAAGAGGAGGCTGAGAAATTTCTTAAGATTAATGTCAGCTTGTACAAGTGCAAGAGGGCCAAAAGACTTATTCTTCAAGAGTTGGATGTTAATTATAAAGCAGAGTTTGGTTACCTGGAGGCATATGTTGCTTGTATAAAGAGAAGCAATCCTGGATCAAAAGCTGAAATTGAACTGTGCAGTCAATCCTTGAAAGATGGGAGGAGAGTCTTCAAAAGAATGTTTATTTGCTTTGATGCTTTGAGGAGAAACTGGATGGGTGGTTGTAGAAGAATAATTGGGGTTGATGGTTGCTTTTTAAAGGGAGTTTGTAGGGGAAACTTGCTTAGTGCAGTAGGTGTGGATGGAGATGGGAAAATGGTTCCAATTGCTTGGGCTGTAATAGACAAAGAAAACAAGTCTAACTGGAGATGGTTTCTCACTTGGCTAGTTCAGGAACTAGAGCTTCACACCGGTGCTGAGTTAACCCTTATATCTGACATGCAGTAGGGTTTAATAATTGTTGCTCAAGAGATTATACCGGATGCAGAGCACAGGTATTGTGCTAGGCATGTTTATGCTAACTGGTCCAAGAAATGGAGAGGCGATCAATTTTGTAAGAGATTCTGGATTTGTGCATGGAGCACATATGAAGAAGAGTTGGAAATGAATTTGAAAAAATTAGGAAAGCTTAGCCAAGAAGCAACCTCTGATGTGTTGAAGTATCCAATCCAAACATGGTGTCGTGCATATTTTAGTAACAAAAGTCAGTGTTGGATGGTTGATAACAATATAACTGAGTCATTCAACTCATGGATCCGGGAAGCAAGAAGAAAACTAATTGTTAGCATGCTAGAAGACATCAGGTTGAAGGCAATGAAGAGGATTGCTGAGTTTTCATGAAAGTTGAGGACTATGAAGCAATTGAACCTCCCCCAGTTCCAAATTTACCAGGAAGACCTAAAAAAATAGGGTAAGGTCATCTACTGAGGGCAAACCATCATCAGGTACTTCAAACCAAGAACCTGCCACAACTCAAAAAGCTTCAAAAAAAAGGCTAAGTGCAAACTTGTGGGATCTGTCATCAAGAGGGTCATAAAAGGTCTAAATGTCCAAACCAAGCCACTTCTGTAAGTGTTCTATGTTCTTATAAAATTACTTATGCTCAGTTGTATTGTAAGATTGTTGTTGTTATGAAGTTACTTATATGTTTAATGTATTAGGCAAATGAAGAGCCCATTGTAAATCAAGGTGTGAAGAGAACTGCTGTTGAGGCTTTGACCTCGGCAGTTTCACCACCCCCACCACCAGGAAGGGAAAATTCAACAACCAATATCAGCAGGCCCTCAAAATTGAAATCAAGAAGAATAGCTAGAAACAAAAGCCTTGACACTTTAACTGGTTTTGGTTGCTATGTTGATGTTAATACTGGGGCAAAGACTTTAAATGTGAGTATTTCTTAAGGAATAGAAAAGTAAAGTATTTTCTTGGTTGTGAATATAAGAGTTGGATGTTGTAAAACCAGATTGATTAGGTTTGTTGTTCTTATACCTCTTGGTTTTGCAGCCTGGGATGAGGAGTGAACATGTTGTTTCTGAGGTGCAAGCTGACATGCCACATGATCCTGATGTTACAGTTAGATATGTTATTCCTAATGAGAAGGAAATAAGAGCTGCTGCCCGGAATCAGAAATCTGTCAATGAGCCAAGATACAGTGATATAGCATTTAAGGGTGATGGAGCATATGTACAACAGCCCACCAACCTACCTTTCAAAGCCCCTGGTTTGCAATGGAAGGGTAGCCCTGCTGTCACATCGGGCCAATTAAGAAAGAAGGTGCAAAGGAGGAGGAAACCTAGCACTGGGACCGATGATAGTCAACAAAAAAATTAATTAGCATGTATAAGTACTTTTGGATTCAATGTGCTAGCTGTCACATTTTTGTGTTTTGGTAGGTGGCAGCACTGGCTTTTTTGGCTTTACATTTCACTCTTAGAACAAAGGTCCTCTATCAGTTTTACAAGTGCGAAATCAGAGGTTGAATATTTATATGAATGGTGTAACAACTTTTTGTTTTATGGATGGTTGCTTTATATGAAGCTTTATATGAATGACATATAATCCCTACACATTCAGACAAACACATTGAAACATACACAATGACATATATCTTCATACCATTCCCATTCATACATATGAAATCTTCAAATTGGATCTGTCATATGTTTACAATAGCAGAATGCATACATTAAACAAAATTACAACATCATAACCTAATATATTCTTCTACCTAAGTTAACATACAAATCAGTGCAACTAGGACACACAAAAACAGTACAACTAAGTAGTTCCTCATTGTCTTTCTTTCCCTTTCCAAATTCATAACCTCAGCATTGTTGGTACTATCATATTGCAGCCTTTGATCTGAACTTTCAAATTGACAACTTTCAGTATCAAATTCTAGCCCTGCAGTGTCATCTAACATCCCCCTTTGCCATTTGGGTGACATAGTGCACCCCTAAGCTTTTTGTTCTCCCAATTTCAGCTGATTTATCACATCTTTCGCTCTATTTGTGAATTGCTCATCATGCCATTGAAATAAACCGCACCCCTCCTTCTACAGTACAAAACACATATATTAATTCCAGTCATCTATATAAACAAGACCACCAATTTACAAACTTACCTTATAATATGGGCATCCATAGAATCGTCTCCCATGATTCTTATCAGTCCATGAGGTCCAAAGTCTAGCTTCTGTAACCATTCCATTCATGTTTCTTGCATTTACAATAGGTGAAACGAGTAGGAGTTCCAGATTCTATATTGCTTCACTTCTTCACCGATTCAACGGAGAAACAACTTGATTTCTCTTCACCAGTCCACCTCGAACGTGAACCTCCATCACCCATCTCACTGTTGTTGTTATACGAACGTGAACCTCTAGGATGAAGTCGTTTATCGTTTTTATTAGGGTTGCTGAGGAGTTGTTGGGTAGCGTTTAATTAGGGGGGAGAAGAAGGAGTTAACGACAGATGACGGCTCGGTTAAGGAGTGGCCAAATGTAACCCAAATAGGTGGCTTATGTGTTTAAATGGTCCACTTTAAACTTCAGTGGCCACTTTAAACGGTTGAGTTATCACCAATTGATGCTACGAAAATCAACCCCAAGGACCAAAGCTCCCGGCATGAGCTCGCTCGTAAGATTTCTTTGGGGCCGAAATATGCTCCCTCCGTAAATGTGTCAAACACTATAATGCTATAAAAACCATTGATAAAAAATATACAAGTTTCGCGTATGGTATAAGATAATATCATTTGTCATATAGAACCTAGAAATGGAATGCATACAATGCGAAAGTGAGCTCAACCCCAGACCAATTCACAAGAACTAGTGAAGATACTGAACCTAAATAGCCACTTTTCACGAACATTTTGAAACGAGATGCAAGGAAAATGCGTGAAAACCCCAAGAAAAATGCGGTCAGAGAGCAAAGAGGATTGTGATTCAAATACGGACCTCAGACTAGCAACAAACACGAACGAAATCACGAGATTAATCCAAAGAACCGAATTAAATCAAAAACGGTTGAGTTATCACCAATTGATGCTACGAAAATCAACCCCAAGGACCAAAGCTCCCGGCATGAGCTCACTCGTAAGATTTCTTCGGGGCCGAAATATGCTCCCTCCGTAAATGTGTCAAACACTATAATGCTATAAAAACCATTGATAAAAAATTATACTAGTACTACGTATACGTTTTA